ACTGCGTAATCAACGGAAACATTGGGAATCTTGCACATTTTTCTCAACGCTGTTGAAACGGCCATGCAGAACATTGCATAAGATACATAAATCTGGGGCTTTATTTCATTACCCCCAGAGCAGAAGCTGAAGCAGGGAGCAGTGGGAAGGGAACGGGCCTTGCTTCTCCTCCAGCAAGCCACAGACAGGGTTATGCAGCCTACGGGTCCAGCCCCCTCTGCTCTCCTCCTCAAGAAGTTTTACTGATGGTCAACCTGCGACTGTGCCCTCCGCACCCCACACTTCTGCTTCAATCTGTCCTTCCTGGCCATGGTCAGCTCCTCGAGGGGCTCTCAATGTGAAAGGGGAGAGCACGCCCCGGGGAGCGTCTGGCAATGTTAGAGGTTGTCACATGTGGGGGGCAGGTGCTGCTGGCATCTAGTCGGTAAGGTCAGGCATGCTGCCAAATATCCCACAGTGCACAGGATGACCCCGCAACAAGGAACAATCTGGCCTTAGATGTCCACAGCTGAGGAGCCCCGGCTGATAGCCATAATCTAGAACAGCGGTCGCCAACCAGTGGCCCGCGGACCACTGGTGGTCTGTGAGGTCCGAAAGGTTGGTGACCGCTGATCTAGAACTCCCAGCTGACCAGGTAGACCCTAGCACTGTTTAAATTTAGCTAGAGTCATTCCCAAGAGAAGTTCACCGTAATGCTGAAGGTAAAAAACCTCTATCAGAGAGGAATCCGCATCCCCCCGCGAATGAGAAAGGGTGCACCAGCAGCTCAAAACCCTGGCAGAACCCAGACTCCTGACCTGGGGTCCTTGATGGGAAAAAAACATCTGCTGGGCATGCAGGCCCCATGGGGCCCCTTGAAGGCGAGTGCAAAACACCCACAGGTGCCCACTCTCCTTGGAGAGGGCCAGCAGTTGGCATCCGATTCTCAAAGAGGCCTGCAACCCCAGGTGACAAACTTAATAGAATTGCTACATGTGTGGCCCCACTGTAAACATCAGAAAGAGAACTGAAGGACGGAAATGCCTCATAAGCCAACTCTGACCTACTTATGCTCCACTCTGAGGCCAAGGTATGATCTTTGGTCATTTTGGGCTTTTTGTGTCAGAAGACAGTCGTCCCTGGCTGAGCGTGGTGTTGCCAAGGGGTCCCGCAGGGCCTCATTCCCCTCATCCATCCAGGGTCTCAGGTCTGGTTCTGGCCCCTCACAACTCAGCCTCTGCACTCCTCCTCCATATCACTCCCTGTCCCCTCCCTGTCCCGGTTCTGTGGGCATAAGCTGAAGCAGGGAGCAGTGTGATGGGAAAGGCCCAAATGCCCACAGAACCAGCACACAGCACACAGCAGCAGTTTGCAATCAGGGCTCTGAGTCAGACCACCTGTGGTGTTTGCAAAAATGGGAGCCTGGGCTCACCTTGACTAGGGCTACAGATCTCTTCAGGGGATGGAGACTGCACTTCTGGAGCCTTAGAGAAGCACCCCAGAGAGCAGGGCGGGGGGTGGGGGGGTGGGAACAGGATTCTGGTGACCCACCAGGCTGCAGAGCTGCACTGCCCTGGCTCCTCGGCCTGAATCTAGGTGTAATAGGTGTAATGGCAAGAAACCTCTGTTTCTCAGTACTGCTGGAGGTTGGGAGCGTGGGTTCAGAGGGGGGCTGCCTGGGTTCAATGCTGGCTCCATCATCCAAGAGCTATGAGATCTTAAACAGGTCACATCTCCTCTCAGTGCCTCTACAGAACAAGGACAAGGGCAGCACCTCCTGCAGAGGACTGTGTGAGAGGAAAACTCAAACCCTGTGGGGCCAGGCCTGCCACAGAGCAAACCCTCAGCCAATGCTGGCAGTCACCGTGCAACTGGTAGAACCAAATAGCAAGTCCCTCAGTGCTTGGGGTGCTCACTATTCTCAAGGGAAGGAGACTATTTCTAGACACCTGCAGCAGGACATCCCATCTGACCCAGCCCGGAAGCAGTGACAGATGGTGTCTCTCTCACTGAGCTGACCCTACGTTGCCAACCAGAAGTTACAACTTTGCAAGAATGAAGAAAGTGTCCTTAATCTCATCAAAAAAGGCACCACTCTACAACTGACCTCCAAGTGATTAAATCACATTAGAGCTGCAAAATCACATGGTATATTTTTTAGACACATTCTGCACTCAATCAATGTTTGTTTTTAAAAATTGGATTCATTTTCAAGCAAATAAGAAAAGTTGGCACTCAACACCTCCACCAGCCGGTGAGGGAAGACAGAAGCTACACTCATGGTCAGGGGAGGGAAGCCCAGCCTTTACCTTGAAAATGGAGGCGTCCACTTCCTGATTATAATCTTGTTTGCCAGCGTGTTTCCAAGGGATCCGGAACATGCTCTTCTCGTCGTTTTCCCAAATCAGCCCTGGGTACAGGTTGCTGTCAATTTGCTCAATCAGCCACTGCCGAAGCCTCCGGCCTCCGTTCCGGTCACACATCCTTAGAAAGATAACAACATAGTCTCAGACATTGCAAGCACTGTCTCATTCATCACAGCACCCCAGGTACTTAACAGCCCAGAAGTACTAACAGGAAAATCAGAGGGCGGCAACGCAGGTGCCAGCTGGGAGAAACCCGCAGATCCAGGACTCTGGCCGCCTGCCCCGAGAGGACAATGCCTGCCTCCAGGACTCAGAGCCCTGAATGAAAACCGAAAGCTTCCAGCTGCCCTTCACCCAGATGTTGGCCCCACCTACTGTTCTGGTTGTGTCCTTCCAGCTTTTACCCCAGGTTTCCTTTCAGGCACATCCAAGGGCATCATTCCGTTTTTAGCACGAGAGAGGGAAAAGTCACTTTTACATTTCCAGGTCCCTTCCATGAGCACCCATTGCTCTAAGAGCCAATTCCATTGCTCGATGCCCATCTGACCAGTGTTTGTGAGCAAATGGGACATTTGTGATCTCCAAAAAAGAGGAAAGTCTCAAGCTATCCCTCTAGCTGGTTCCTTCACAGCTGGTTTAGTGGTAACAGCATGAGTTTGGGAAGGGCAGAGCGCAGGTCCCATTCGAATCCCGCCATCTCTCAGCGGGGTGGCCTGGGAGCATCGTTTAACACTGAAGTGTCAGCCACACTGGCTGAAACTCGGGGACAACTATCAGTACTTGGCATTGTTGTAAGGAGGGCTCAGACAATGTGTAGAAAACATCTGGACCTTTGAAGGGTTCTCTAAATACAGATGTTGTTACTATTACCCCAACTTTCTTCCTCAGGACCAACAGGGAGATAGCAGACACGCGTGAGGAAATCAGCTGTGGCTACAGACAAAGTTAGCCCAGAGAGACTCTTCCAGAAGGAGCCAAAACCAGGGGACCTCACCATCCCAAGGTGCCCAAAGACATCCTTTGGGAGATCATTCTGCCAGAGCAGACGGCTGTCCCCACAGCACAGAGAAAAGAGAAAGCAGTCACGCCGTATCAGCTCTCAGCCCACGTTTACAAGAACAGGGGTGGGAATCCCCTAGGCAGTTGGACAGACGCCCACCCAAAAAAAAAAAGGCATTTCTATTCTTCTGATTAAAATGTGACCTCTTCTGGCAAACAAGTTTGAAACCATCAGCAGTGACAAGACATAATGTCCCCAAGAATATGGTCACATCTAGAGCCATGCTGGTCCATAAAGCAACAAGTTATGAAAGTTCTGCAGGTGGCTATGGGGTCAGAGAGGGCATCCAGGTCCTGAGAAGGAGATGAGGTCCTGTGAGCACCCAATGAAAAGGTTACAACAGCCCCAACTGCCCGTTGTGGATGGAAAAGGGGTGAAGTGTGTGGAATGGTCATTGGGCTTCAATTTGAAAACCGTAGGCTCCAGCCGAAGGCTTTTCTCTAACTTGACCTGGCTGAGCTATTTGAAACTCTCTCTGAGGTTCACCTCGTGTACAAAGTGAATGGAGCTCGTGTCCCAGAATTCTAAAACAGTCCCTTGTGATTATAAACAAAGTTGGGAAGAGCACCTAATGAGAGAAATGAAACGATGCCACCGAGTTCCTCCCAGAGAGTAACTTGCAGGGTACACATTCCTATGGGTCTCTCCTGCTGGAAAGGCAGGAGACTGCCCACTCCTTGAGGAAGGAGCTGTGTGGGGGACAGGGAGCGGGGCCAGAGCACAAGAGAAAGGTTAGTGTCTGTGGATCTGTCTATTGAAGGACACGTTCCTGCTCACTAGCGTTTTGCTCACCCCCTTAGTACAAGGTTCATACACTAGAGTTCACGTTCCAGGAGCCCCTGAAATGAAAAGCAGTATTTTGTTTGTATGGGAATTTTTCCAGAAAGTGATCACCACCTTCTTGGGGGGATTTTTAATGGATTTATAACCCCAAAATTGTTAAAGACAACTCTCTTGGTGATTTATGAGGAAAAGAAAAGAGAAAAGAAAGTAAGAGAGCTGGCATTAAAAGGGAGAGTAAGTCATACAATATGAAAGCTGGACCAACTTTAGAGATCATCTAATCCAGCCCCTCTTGGTTCAAAAATGGAAAAACTGAGGCTCAGAAAGACACCCCAACCCCAGCGAAGGGGTCTCATTTTACTCACTCTGCAGGGAAAAACCATGGCTAGATTATAAGACCTCAGCACATGGACAGCCCCGCCTGAATTTTCAATGAGATCACCTGCAAGGTTCTAAGCAGCATTAAAAGCCTATGATTCTAATACAATGAAGATCCATAATGATCTATTAAACACTAACAAATTAATTCCACCAAATGCTGAGCCAGGAAAATTTTATAAGCCCAGTCACATGTTTATAACTTCCTCTTCCTTGATTTTTAGGTAATAATTCTTTTTATGGGCCAAGTCCTATCTGGAGCTAATCTCCACCCTATAAATGAGTCCGGGGGTCAGGCTTCCCAGGTGGCAGGTGATAAGAGGTTGCCTTGGGCCCAGCCAACCCGATTCCAGGATGTACCTGCCAGGTGGTGCAGGACTGGCCTACTCCCACACCTCTCAGGGCCCCTGGGCATCTGCCCTGGCCACCACGAGACCCAAAAGCATCACAGCCATTTCTCCCTCTGGCCCTAATCTTGCTAAAATTACTAAACCACCCCTAATTCTTTACATGGAGGAACGTGCCATAATCCAAAAGGAAACTCTCAGACTGGCTCCTAACAGGTTTTAAAAAGTGTGTTATATCCCTCCATATGTTAGGGGAATCGTTTAAAATCCTGGAACATGCGGTCTCTGGTTTCCATTCCTGAAGCACTTCACAGCTCTGGGTAATACATTTCATCTTCTCACCGCAGAGTCTGCCCTTCGCATTGGAGACATTTTACATAAAAATGGTCTTGTTAGTTGTGACCCCATACAGACTTCTTGCCAGGGGAGACTGGGCTATGGTGGAAGCAAAGGACCTCAAACCTCACTCAGAAAACCTGTCATCGATCAGGATAAAAAATCCAGTCTGCCCCTTCACAAGTTAACCCGCACAAGCAGTACTGGTTATTGGACAGCTTCATCGCTATGACCCTCCAACTATCATTCCATGTAGTGGGATTTGAGTGGGACAACGGGAGTTTTATAGTAAAGGGTAAACATTTCCCTTCATTATATGAACCATTCTGAAGTCGTCCATGCAAACCAGATTTTTAAAAAAATTAGATTTTTTTTTTTTTTGGCATCAAAGCCATTTAGGGGCAGCCGCATAATGATCAACGACTTGGACCTTGAGAAATAGGGGGTTGGGGTGGGGGGGAAAACAGAGGGCACTGGGGGAAGCGGCAGCGCCGGC